CATTCTACTTACAAACATATTAACAACGTCAGGGAAATCCATTCCACTGACATCAACATGTCTAGAAACGTCAAGAGTACAATTCCAACAATATTGACATGTATCCTAAGTCAGGGATGTCCAATCCACTGACTTCCATAGGCAAACAGTTACAAAAACTTTGACCAGACAACAGATTTTTCATGTATTTCCATCAGACATTTAGCCTGGATCCTCTTTGATTCTTCTCTCATTCGAGAATCGGATCTGGCCATGTCATCATCTGGAAAATGGCGGCAGAAAAAATACAAACCACCATCAACAACAAAATCACAAACACAAACTCACAACGAATCCACAAACATGCTCATGTAACATAGACCCGGGCAAGCCGGCGGCGGAAGTTTCCCAAGAATAAATGACCTATAGTTCAAGGCCAGCCTGTCCCGAGCGTGTCCTTCCCTCGACAAGCGGTTTTTTTTTTTCAGCGAGAGACGAAGCAAAGTCTTCACACTCCACACTTCACACTTCACTCTTCGCACTCCAAACTTCACACTCCACAGTCCACACTTCACACTTCTCACTTCTCACTGCTTACTTCACACTCCAAACTTCACACTCCACACTTCACACTTCGCACTTCACAGTCCACACTTCTCACTTCTCACTGCTTCCTTCACACTCCAAACTTCACACTTCACACTTCTCACTTCGCACTTCACACTCCACACTTCACACTCCACACTTCACACTCCAAACCTCACACTTCACACTTCTCACTTTGCACTTCACACTCCACACTTCACACTTCACACTTCTCACTTCGCACTTCACACTCCACATTTCACACTTCACACTTCACAGTCCACACTTCACACTTCTCACTGCTCACTGCTTCCTTCACACTCCAAACTTCACACTTCACACTCACTTCGCACTTCACATTCCACATTTCACACTTCACAGTCCACACTTCACACTTCTTACTGCTCACTGCTTCCTTCACACTCCAAACTTCACACTTCACACTCCACACTCCACACTTCACACTGCACTCTTTGCACTCCAAACTTCACACTCCACACTTCACAGTCCACACTTCACTTTCTAGTCATTTATTCTTGGGACACTAATGCCGTCACTTCTACTTCCCACTGTCATTACCTAAAAAGGGGCCAGTCCAAACAGTTACAATACTCATTGTCACTACAGTTACAGCCACAACGGTCATTGTCAAAGTAGTCTTTGTCATAGTATCTATGGTCACAGTAGTCATGATCAGAATAGTCACAGTCACAGTCACATCAGGTATGGTCACACTAATCAAAGTCACGGTGGTCATTTTATGGAGGTTATCAACATACAACCGCACGAACGATGGAATTACTTCACACTCCACACTTCACACTTGTCACTTCTCACTGCTTCCTTCACACTCCAAACTTAAACTTCACACTCCACACTTCACACTTCTCACTTCCCACTGCTTCCTTCACACTGCACACTTCACACTGCACTCTTCACGCCCCACACTTCACTGCTCTAAACCTACGTGCAACGGCGTCGGAAAATTGTAGCTCCAAAACCGGATCTCGACGCCAGAGCGAAAAAAAGACGATTTTGAAGCACTTTTTAAAAGGATTTTTAGAAGGAAAATCACTAGCGCCAAAATGGAGAAAATCTGCTGACAAATCACTGTCGCAGCCTTCATGCAGCCACTCCAATACGATTTACGAAGTCCAGCTGCAAAAGACAATAGTATTACGCATGCAGCCTCAGCATGAAGCAACCTTGACGCAGCTATTACAATGCGATCTGCGGAGACTGAGTTGCAAAACGCAATAGAACTACGCGCAACTGGGTCGGAAATTGCAGGTCCAAAACCGGATCTCGACGCCAGAGCGAAAAAAAGACGATTTTGAAGCACTTTTTAAAAGGATTTTTAGAAGGAAAATCACTAGCGCCAAAATGGAGAAAATCTGCTGACAAATCACTGTCGCAGCCTTCATGCAGCCACTCCAATACGATTTACGAAGTCCAACTGCAAAAAACAATAGTATTACGCATGCAGCCGCGGCACCAAGCAACCTTGACGCAGCCATTACAATGCGATCTGCACAGACTGAGTTGCAAAACACAATAGAACTACGCGCAACTGGGTCGGAAATTGCAGCTCCAAAACCGGATCTCGACGCCAAAGCGAAAAAAAGACGATTTTGAAGCACTTTTTAAAAGGATTTTTAAAAGGAAAATTACTAGCGCCAAAATGGAGAAAATCTGCTGACAAATCACTGTCGCAGCCTTCATGCAGCCACTCCAATACGATTTACGAAGTCCAGCTGCAAAAGACAATAGTATTACGCATGCAGCCGTGGCAAGAAGCAACCTTGACGCAGCCATTTACACTGCGGGAACGATCCTACAGTTGCAAAGCACAATGGAATTCCATCGGCAACTCATCCAACAGCACCACTTGCAATCCCATTTACATTGCGGGAACGATCCTAGAGTTGCAAATCACAATGAAATTCCATCGGCAACTCATCCACCAGCACCACTTGCAATCCCATTTACATTGCGGGAACGATCCTACAGTTGCAAAGCACAATGGAATTCCATCGGCAACTCCTCCACCAGCACCACTTGCAATCCCATTTACAGTGAGGGAACGATCCTAAAGTTGCAAATCACAATGGAATTCCATCGGCAACTCATCCACCAGCACCACTTGCAATCCCATTTACATTGCGGGAACGATCCTACAGTTGCAAATCACAATGGAATTCTGTCGACCACACATGCACGAAAAACAGTTGAAACCCCATTTACAATGCGGAACCGATCCGACCATGATCCATGCCCATGATCCGACCATGATCCGACCACACACGAGACCGTCTCGCACCCGTCGCACCGCAGAGGTAGATCATCGAGGTTCGGGGACGCACTTTGTATGGAAAAACATAGGTTTCGTGCATCTGCTATCTCTCAAAAACGCATTTCGTGCGAGACTTCCTTCAAAACTCCATCGGCAACTCCTCCACCAGCACCACTTGCAATCCCATTTACAGTGAGGGAACGATCCTAGAGTTGCAAATCACAATGCAATTCCATCAGCAACTCATCCACCAGCACCACTTGCATCCCATTTACAATGCGGGAACGATCCGACAGTTGCAAATCACAATGGAATTCTGTCGACCACACATGCACGAAAAACAGTTGACACCCCATTTACAATGCGGAACCGATCCGAGAATGATCCGAGGATGATCCGAACATATCCGAGCATGATCCGACCACACACGAGACCGTCTCGCACCCGTCGCACCGCAGAGGTAGATCATCGAGGTTCGGGGACGCACTTTGTATGGAAAAACATAGGGTTTCGTGCATCTGCTATCTCTCAAAAACGCATTTCGTGCGAGACTTCCTTCAAAACTCCATCGGCAACTCCTCCACCAGCACCACTTGCAATCCCATTTACATTGCGGGAACGATCCTACAGTTGCAAATCACAATGCCCTGACTAACTCTTTCCCTCACTAACTCTTTCTTTGACTAACTCTTTCCCTCACCAACTCTTTCCACTAACTCTTTCTTTGACTACCTCTTTCTTTAACTAACTGTTTCTTTGACTAACTGTTTCTTTGACTAACTGTTTCTTTGACTAACTGTTTCTTTGACTAACTCTTTCTTTGACTAACTCTTTCTTTGACTAACTGTTTCTTTGACTAACTCTTTCTTTGACTAACTCTTTCTTTGACTAACTGTTTCTTTGACTAACTCTTTCTTTGACTAACTCTTTCTTTAACTAACTCTTTCTTTGACTAACTCTTTCGTTGACTGACTCTTTCTTTTCTAACTGTTTCTTTGACTAACTGTTTCTTTGACTAACTGTTTCTTTGACTAACTCTTTCTTTGACTAACTCTTTCTTTGACTAACTGTTTCTTTGACTAACTGCTAACTCTTTCTTTGACTAACTGTTTCTTTGACTAACTTTTTTTGACTAACTCTTTCTTTGACTAACTCTTTGACTAACTTTCTTTGACTAACTCTTTCTTTGACTAACTCTTTCTTTGACTAACTCTTTCTTTGACTAACTTTAACTCTTTCTTTGACTACACTTCTTTGACTAATCCTTGACTTAACTCTTTAACTGTTTCTTTGACTAACATCTTTCTTTGACTTTCTTTGACTAACTGCTTTCTTTGACTAACTCTGTTTCTTTGACAACTGTTTCTTTGTTGCTAACTCGTTTCTTTGACTAACTCTTTCTTTGACTAACTCTTTCTTTGACTAACTGTTTCTTTGACTAACTGTTTCTTTGACTAACTCTTTCCCTGACATTCTAAAAGTCCGTAACACGGAAGTTTCTCCCCCTAAACTTCCTTTGACAACGTGTGTCTCATGTATGTACCTCACATGCACTATCACCACAAAGAGTTGATCCTTCCAGGATACAACTCAATGCCATGATGCAAGCTTCTTCCATGCTGCACTAATTCAATCCCTCGCCCCCTTTCAAGATCCGCTTTCCTTCTCTCCTTTTCTGCTGGGCACAGAAGTCTGAAGTGACGGCAACGAATACGTGCTGTATAGAGTGAACCTCGAGCTGGCCAAAGGTGGTAATACCACTCACCAACTATTCTCTCTACCGCACAGGTGGCAAAGAAACTTCAAAATATAGTGCACACCTTGGGTTCCACCCAAAACGATCGGGCCTCTCTCAACTCTCAGTAGCCGAGGTTCCAGATCTTCATACTTCTTAGTAGATCCGTCGGAACTGGGAATTTCCATCTCGGATCATGCCGAGTCCTTGAGGGGCCCACAGACTGGTAATCCCAGTAATCTGATCGGAGCGATAGGCTGTTGGTGATAGGGTCCGCAAGGCTCCAGTCCCTGCGTCCCGGGTGACAATACCTACCCTCTGACTTGGAGTCGCAATACCCAACGGGCCACTTGGCCGCTGCCCACTTGGATGCTCTGGGCAATATGCCATGAACAACGATAATGGCACAGAGTCTGCCGCACGTGGTGGCACCGCAGGTACAGGTGGAACAGCTGGAGCCGGTGGAACTGATGGAGCCGGTGGGGTCGCTGGGACATGACCAGGTGGTCCCATCATCGACTCACCCGTGTTGGCCATCCCGGCCGCTCCATATGCACCTGACACCCCTGGTACTCCAGGGCCACCAGCCACCGGTGCACCAACTGTCGGAAAACCCACTACTCCCGGTGTCAGGGGTGTCCCGGTCTCTGTCACACCCTCCGGAGCCGAACCTGGTGCTGCAGGTGGAAATGCTGGCCCCCAAGGTTGTTCCTTCAACAGGTTCACTAGCTCTTGGATGTGTCCACCCAGGGTTTCGAGGCTACCATTCATACTGGCTCCCAGCCTTTCTGCTTGTTTTTCAATCTCTCCTTGTACACCTTTGATGTTGGTCTCAATCGTCTGGCTCCCAGCCATAGCCCAGCGGCTCGTATTCGACCAGCGATCAAAGGCCTTCAGGAGCTTGGTGACTTCCCCAGCTTGGAATGCCACCCCTGCAGTCATCGTGGTGATACAATGGTTGGTACCTTTGATCTGTGTGCTGAGCTCTTGAAATCCCTTTTGCAGCTCCAGTCTTCCATTGTTGAACTCATCAAAGACAAGACCCAGATCCTCAATCACTTTGCCAATCTTCGTGGCAGACTCCGAGAGCTTCTGAGCGAGTTCCAAGATCTCCGTACCACCAGATGCTGGTGGTGGCACGTCAGTCATCTCATCCGGAGCTCTCTCTGGCATGCCCAGAGCTTCCTCTGGCATAGCTGGTGCTCCTTCTGGCGCACTTGGGATTTCTTCTGGCACAGCTGGTGCTCCTTCTGGCGCACTTGGGATCTCTTCTGGCACAGCTGGGGCTTCTGATTCATCTGGCTCACGTGCTCGGGACCTGGAGCGGGCTCGTCCCTCTTCAGCGGCCATTCTCAGCGTGCGTTCTAGGCGCTTCTAAGAGCTTGTACCACTCTACTTGAAAGTCCCGGCTGACAATAGAGCCTCATGCCCTATAATCCCAATGTCACAAGCACCAAACAATCAAACCAACCCAACATGTTTCGTAAGTTCACCCATATAACCAACTGACGAAAATGTTTCCCAAAATGCCAGATGTCTCCAACATACTGGAATTTTGCGAACCATTGACACATATGTCTCAACATGCAGTAAAGGTCTGTGCTCGTCCTCAAATCATGGAAATTGACCAAACCCCTATACAAAAAAATGTCAGTCCTCAATCCATGAAGGACCACCATGAACTTTAGTTCACCATGCGCTCCCTACGATATGCAGTACAGATTCACTGTCCCTCATTGACATGCATGCAGGTCTTCTGGAGAATAACAGGTCTCCGTGGTTTTGCAAGAACCCTTTGACAAGTCATCTTCACAAAACTGCACCCATCAAACGACACACTGACAGCAAATCTCAACTGCAAAAAAACAAGGCGCATTAAACAAAACACACACAAACTTGTTTGGGTTTCACGTTTCGTTCGTTTCGTTTGTTTCGTTTCAGTTGACAAATCCACACGATTGCATCTTATCATCTTGCAACATGTTGGCACCGACTACCAAAGCATTCTTTCATCGGCCACAGGTATCCAAACAAAAAAAGGGGAACCTTCACCAACTTGTCACAGCTGGCACGGCTCAAGCGGAACCTAAAGTACAATACTCTACAGCTGGCTCATTCCTCAGTTCCTAGCAGGACGCTCATGAACCGGCTCATTAGCAACCCTGGGGTCGATGATCTGATAGAGCAATCTTCCCTGCTCATCACGTTCTTCTGGAGTAAGAAATCCATACCAACGAAACTCACCAGGTTGAATCTTCTCCAGCACATTTGCCTCCATCTTTCGAAAGTAACCCAGAGCAGTAATTTCTACTTGGAGGAAGCTGTACTCGAAGTAGCTGTACGTGTGACACCATTGAACATCTGTGGCACGCCCAAGAGGCATATGTGTCGCACTCAAATCTATCCTGGAGGTATAGATGTCTGGGTAGATTCTATGATTCGTCCGCAGCTCCTCCATCTGTGGCGGGGCGAGAGCTATCCACAGACGAATGCTATCCTCCATTGAGTTCAAACCAAGATTTCTTTCCACACTCAGCAAAGAAAATGGCTTCGGGACATCGATGCAAACATGCAACTCAATTGACTTTCCATGTGGATTAACACTCACTGCAAATCTCTGTCCATGTGGATCTCTTGACTGTGAACTCTGCCGCTTACAGTTCTTCCAAACCAACGACCTTCCAGTCTACAGTCATCTTCCAGTTCAACATGACAACTCCACACGTCAAAAAACTCATAGTTTCACTACAGGAAATCACACAAACTGTTCATCCGTCAAATGAGCAACGCAGACCCACATGCTGCTGAAGGTACTCTTTCTTCTTTCTCTTCTGCATTTCAAACTGGAGTTTCAAAAAAACATAACTACTACTCCATGGTCTGCCCAACTTCTGGACCTGGACCCTGCCTATTCAAATGAACTTGACGGCCATCTCACTAATGCGGTACAGCATGCGCCCTTGGCTATCCCGCTCTTCATGCTTCACAGGCCCATGCCAGCGATACTCAGTGGGCTTTGTTTGTCTTCTCCAAGATTCCGCCCTCAACCTTTTGAAGGTAGCCAAGCGCTGAGATCTCCATCTCCATCACCGTATAGTCTTTCTGATGGTACTCGCCTTTCAATCCATCAGGCGTCCAATCCATAAAGTATTGAGCACGATTCACCGCTTCCGCAGGTCCCAAACGCAGACCAAAGCGACCGGAGTATCCATCTGGAAAAACCTCATTGCCCTTGTTCAACTCTTCCAACTGCTTGGGCTCTAAAGCAATCCAGAGCTTAAGTGACTCCATGTTCGAAACCACACACAGTGCAGCGGTCTCAATGCTCTTGACACGAAACAGCTAGAAAACGGCTGCAGAAACACAAACAGGCTATCTAACCACAACTCATACACTCAGAAAACAATCTACCAAGCCTCTTGCGAGTGAAAACATCACAACGACCGACCTAATGGCTTTCTCTGTGCCGCTTTCAACTTCTCCTTTTCCAGTCAACGACCTTCTACGCCTCTAGGTCACATGTGATCAACGTTTCACTTTCGCAGCAAAACAAACCTCATTTGTTCATTTCTGTCCAGGCAACCAACCACAGGGTACTGAGACTGTTTCTACTGATGTCTCCTCACAAACAAACAAGCTAAGGCTCAGCAGTAACACTCAATCCAACTTCTTTGAGTAGTTCTTCTTCCAAAGTAGCCTCTGGGATGTCGACTACGTCCATCAGCTCACTGTCTGAGACGCTACGCACATCATCACCAGAATTCAGTACTGCTTCTCCACACTCACTTGGAGATTTCGCTGCATCTACCAGAGGTAGTTCTCTCCTGATACATGCCACATCTTCTTCCACATCTATAGGAGTAGGTGCTGTGGCAGCATCAACGAGAGGTGCCCGACGTTTCCTGGTGGAGAAAGGTTGACTCTTACAGGACTTATCCTTCACCTTCGCAGCAGCCATCTTACTCTTTGGACGATCCAACTTTGAAGCCTTCTTGTATTGAAATTCCTTGAAGTGAGACATTCCAGCTCCACTTGAGGTTGGCTCCTCGTTCGAAAGATCTTTCTGGTCTTTGCGGGTAGACATGGCAGACTGATCTACCTTTGAACCTCTTGAGCAATACCTGGCCCTATCAGTGACAGGCATGTCACCCACTTTCAATCATCCACAGTGCACTCTAAAACATAAAGTTTTCCTGCGTATTGGGCTCAAACAAAAATCAAGTCTACCTCCAAATTGAGTAACACTGAAACGACAACTCAGAAAGCGATCTCTGCCTACTCATTCCAGTCACCTGATACGCCTTTTCTTATCACTCCTCTACGAACCAACTGAGTTCAAGATCCAAGACATGCCTCAACTGTTTGCAAGAACCATGCACCTAGTGTCCTAAGTTCCCAGCCTTTGCACTCTGATCCATTACCTCAGTGTCCAGTGTCCAACCTGGCAATCAGTCGCTCTACCAGATTATGCAAATCACTTCTTCTCATCCTTACCTTAGTGTGTTCCATTCACAAGGTTGCAGCAAGTTACCTACTGTCACTTCATACTGCCGAAACGAATCTCGTACGTCCAGGAACATTCCATCCATGCATACATCTCCAGATACTCTAGCGCAGCCCTGCAATAGTGACCCTACGCTAGCAATACGTCACGCCATGACACAGACTCCTACCAGAATACTGCCAAGACTACATGGACGCTTTCCCAAAACTACGTACCTACAAAAATAAAAATGAAGCTTGCTCCGACAGAATCCACTGTCACCACAAACCACAAATTAAACCAAAAAACTCAACTCCTCCATCCAAGTCACAAGTGTCCTTCCCAGGGTTGACTAATCTTGTATGCACTCCTACAGGTACCACTGTCGACAGTCTACATGGGCCCAACTCTGTCCAGCCTACCAAGCACACACACCCTGCCGATTCTTGTTTGACTTGCAAACGGATAGTCGTCCATAAAAAGATTGATCCCCGATCCTCATGATCCGTAGAAATCTATACGAACAAATAAAACAGAGTCTCAAAGTCACCTGAACCAAACAGACTCCAACCAACTCCACACTCCCTAGTGACCTTATACCTTCAGATCATCACCTCCTGTGAAACAGGAGCATCTTAGTATGAGCTCATCTCTGCCTCTGCGCATAGAACACGGAGCTCCAATACCCAAGATCCCAATCTCACCTTAGATGACGTCCTTAGCATCTTGTCACAAACAAGGGTCAGCGGAAGATGGTGTGGGTAGCCCTTTTCAGGGCTCCGCTACCATGTGAAAAACGTAAACCCAAGTACACCTCTCGTGTACCCAAATCAACGCTTTCGTTATCTCACTACGCCAGACGCAAACACCTACTGTGGTTGCGACCTCGCAGCTACTTACTTCTCTGCAATGTCAAATAAAGGAACTTGTTCCACCCTGACTCCTAAGTGCACGTCAGACTCCTTCTTTTCTCTCCAGACGCCACACACAACGGAACAGGTCAACAGGAACCAAGGCAGGCACACGGCCACAAAACCAAGAAGATGTTCCAGTGTGGCTACTGTTTCAAGTGCCCTAGGTGACACCGCAGTTCAGTTCGCTTCGGAACATTTGACACCACTCCCTTGAGCCGATGTCTCAACTGGGAAACTCGATTCCAGGTTTCCAATCCACAACCTTCCCTCAAAGGTTGTTGAAACAATTCCAAACTGCTATGATATACAAATCACCTAGTCACAAAACGTCAGAAACATTTCCAAAAGTTCTCATGTCCAACTGGTTCTCATCCAAACGCAAGTAACCAGCTAGCCGGTGTTACTAGTCTCTACCAAACGTCTAGACTAGTCACACGGCTATTCAAGAACGAAATGATTCATTCAAATTACTTTACAAAATCCTCTTGCAATACAGAACAACATGGAACCTCATGTTCCATCTCCAAAACAGTTCTTCACACAGAGATGTCTTCTCATAGCTCCAAACTACCGTGGAGAACAGAATGTTCTGTTCGACTTCTCAGCTAATATCCAGTCATCAGCAGTCATAGCGCTAAAGTAGTTCGCTCACCACAATAACCAAACATCAGCAATCAGTCACAAAGACAAAGGTCACAATTTTTTTTTTCTCTGGCGTGGCCGATATTGCACTAGGCTCGGTCCTTACAATTGCGTAAGCAGTGAAAATCTGAGAACAACACAAAAATGGACACGTATGGCCCGTAAGAATGGCAAATCAGTTCAAACCAAGAACAAGACACACCAAAAACCAAAGCGACCCGCAAATCCCCCAGCCAGATTTGCGTTTCGCCACAAAACGACACAGCGAAACAACACCGAAACGGGGCAAGGCCCAACAAAAACACCCAACT